CACGGGGAAACTGCCTAGCTTTCAAAGTTTGAAAAACCTTCAAAAACTGTAAGCATTCAAATCTAACACTTCAAAATTGAAATTTCTTGATTTTATTGACAAGCATTATTGGCAGAGAGCTTCAAGCAAGTGGTTTTGAAGGACCCATACCTGAAAATATTTCTGTATCGACAAGCTTGATAGAACTGTGAGTTAAGATTTCTTTTGACGATTTAATTAATACTCACGTTTTTTGTTATGGCAGATATTTTTATGGTTAAGACTTAAATCAATCAACAAACTAATGTAATTGCCAACATCATGAATGTGCAGTAGAATAAGTGAACTGAATGGAGGTGGTTTCTCCAGATTTCCTACATTAAACAACATGACAGGATTGAAAAAGTTGTGAGTAATGCGTTTTCTTTCCAAAAATATAAACTTAAGTTTCATAACTCCTCAATGACGGGTATTTATGCAAAAAAAATAATTTCGGGTGCAGGATGTTGAGGAGGTGTAATCTTTCTGGGAGGATACCCAATATAGCTCATTTGACAACCATGCAACAACTGTAATATCTGCAACTTCAAATTTCTTTTGATCCTTATCTGCTGTTAACTTCAAGTTGATATACTTCTCTGCTTTACTGAATTTGCAGAGATTTGAGTTTTAATCATTTGGAAGGAGGGATTGATGTTCTTCAAGGTCTTGATAAACTGCAGTATATGTGAGTAACAAATCAATTTTGATGTTAACAACAAAGCATAAGAAACGACATCCTTTCTATTTGGTCATCTTGAATTGATCTTACAAACAGCTCTCATATTTGATATACTAAACTAAGTTTTGTGCTTTCTAGGATTCTAACGAACAACTCGTTGAATGGGCAAATACCTCAATGGGTTTTAAATCGAGAGTCCAAATAGTAAGTTTAGTCTTATCAATTTATAGATAATGAATTTTATCGGAGTTGTGTTGTATTATGCATGAGCTCTTCTCAACTACTCTTGTTATAAAAAGCATTAATTCGTAAAAGATGGTGTGCAGTTACATAGATCTTTCTTACAATAATTTTGAGGAGAGCTCTGTGTCACCGATTTGCACTCGAGAAACCCTGTAAGATTCTGTCCCTCATATGCATATACTCTTTCAAGTGTTCCTTAAAATATGGATCATTTTAGCTTTCTCATTTTCCTATCAGAAACTTGTTCAAAAGCTATAATGGAGGACAAAACTCGTAAGTTTTAACATCCTCTAACAATCGTGAATATTGTGTCACTCTTAATGTAATTTATTCTCCAAAGATTTCTAATTAAATCTCCCGTTTGGCTTTGTATAGAAGGTGTCTAAAGCAATGCACAAAAGGTAAGCACATCATGTCACAATACTAGTTGCATCATGTATCTTTTGCTTAGTTTAGCTGAACTTCTCATATTTCATTTTTTTCTGCAGATTGGTATTCATTTCACATCAATTGCGGTGGAGGCAATGTTTTGATTGGTGACACTACATATGATGCAGATCAAGATTCTTCTGGTCCTGCAAAATTTGTTTCCAATCGAGAGAACTGGGTAACCAGTAATACAGGGTACTTTTGGGATAGAAATCTAACACTACCTGACTATACAACAACAAATACATCTGTCATCAAGGGAAAAGACTCTGAAATCTACCAAACAGCTCGGTTGTCTCCTTTATCTCTAACGTATTACGGGCGCTGTTTAGCAAATGGAAACTATACTGTGAAACTTCATTTTGCGGAGATAGTTTTGAGGGAAAATAGATCTTTCCAAAGTCTTGGAAGACGCATATTTGATGTTTATATACAGGTCTACCAAGAATTTTAGAGTTTAAATTGATGACTTCAATGGTTAAGTAATGGGCATCTAACGATAGTGGTTGTATTGGTTATAGGGTGAAAGGAAGTTAAAGGATTTTGATATCGAAACTGAAGCACAAGGAGTTGACAAAGTGTTGGTAAAACAATTTCAAGCAGTTGTCAACAATAAAACTCTAGAGGTGCGCTTTGAGTATGCGGGGAAAGGAACATCAGCAGCCCCACGCAAAGGAATATATGGCCCTTTAATATCTGCCATTTCCGTAGAATCTGGTAATAATTAAATGTAGAATTATGGCATAGTTAATGGACTATTTTGGAGTATATATATATTTTTAAATTTAGTTGCAGATAATGAAAAGATATCTAACCCACTCTCATGCCCTTTCTACAAACCTGCAGATTTCAAGCCTCCCAAAACGAGAAAGACTTTAATCATAGTTGTTGCATTAACTTCTTCTTTGTGTCTTATTTTCACAATTCTCTGCTTTGCGTGGTGGAAGATCTACATTAGAAACAAAGCCTCAAACAAGACCTCACAAGAAAACGGTAATTTCTAATTGTGCATGGGAAACTTGGATGTTGTGACAATTTGTGCATGCACTCATGTGCATAGGAAAAAAAAAAAAAAGTATTCATAGCAACACAGTTTTTTTATGCACTGGCAAATTTCTTTAAAGTAATTGTACTTCCTGGTGCAGAATTACGAAGCATTGATCTACAAACTGGAACGTTTACTTTTAGACAAATTAAAGCCGCTACAAACAACTTTGATGTCACAAATAAGATTGGGGAAGGTGGTTTTGGCCCCGTCTACAAGGTATAGAGAGATGTGAATATCCATATATATAATCTGTCAATCTATTAAATAATACTTGAAACTTGTTTTTGGACATACTATAATGCTTATGTTGATGATCTTGGATTTTCCCTTGTGTATAAACCAGGGTACATTATTGGATGGTACAGTCATTGCTGTAAAACAACGTTCAGCTAATATATCAGGACAAGGATACTGCGAATTTTTGAATGAAATAGGCATGATCTCTTATCTACAACACCCTAATCTTGTGAAACTTTATGGGTGTTGTGTCGATAAAAAGCCATTGCTACTCGTGTATGAGTACTTGGAAAACAATAGCCTTGACCGTGCTCTTTTTGGTAAATTTGAAATCTTAATTATTTCGATTGCTAGTCACTTTTTTTTTTTTTTTTTTTTAAACATTAGTCAATAAACTAAAGAAAGACATTTCTTTATCTATACATGATATATGCTACCAAAATAGTGAGGATTTAGTTAATTTTATCGAGATAAACATTAGTATTCTGAGTTAACAATTAACTATAGGTCCAGAAGATTGTCAATTGAAAATAGATTGGCCTACGAGACAAAGAATCTGTGTTGGTATTGCAAAAGGTATAGCTTTTCTACATGAAGGATCAGCAATAAGAATTGTTCACAGAGACATTAAAACCGCCAATGTGCTTCTTGACAAAGAACTCAATCCAAAAATTACTGACTTTGGACTGGCTAAAGTTGACGTTGATAGAAATACACACATCCACGCAAGACTTGCGGGGACAGTGTAAGTGTTATAACAATTTCTCATCCATTTTGTTTTTAAAATTTTCATTGTTTTTGTGAGAGTGACGAAAAACATAGTAATTATAAGATGACCAACCAGGTATAAAGAGGCAAATTGTCATCTTCTTTTAGATTACCTATGATCTGCACATAGTTGTTAATATAATAATTAATTAGACATGCAGTTTTGCATCTTGATGCCATTCATATATAGGTTGTAACCAATTATCTTGCATTTATCTTCAAATATTATAAAACTTGCATTTTAATTGATCACTCCTAAAATTTTTTTTGAATCTCCCAATTTCTTTCAACGCTCCTCTGCCTTGAGTCTTTCATGAAAATAACAGTTGCTCTTCCCATTTTTGGTCTACAGTATATACATGGCTCCTGAATATATACGTGGGGGCTACTTAACATTCAAAGTTGATGTTTATAGTTTCGGGGTGGTGGCACTGGAAATTGTTGCTGGGAAGAAATGCAGGAATTATCTCCCAGATGAGGGTATCGTTTGGCTCCTTGTTCAGGTGAGATATCAGTACTAGCAAACTGATAATTCATATATGGCAGACATATATGTTCATTATGTTGAACTAAGTAGCATATTCTTATATATATTATGGTGTGTTTTGATGTATTTATGCACAATTTTCAGGCACGTGATCTTCATGAAAATGGAAACCTAATGGAGCTAATAGATCCAAGATTGGGCTCTGATTTTGACAAAGAACAGGCACTTAGAATGATCAAAGTGGCTTTGCTTTGTACTAATCCTTCCCCAGACCTTAGGCCATTCATGTCTGAAGTAGTCAACATGCTTGAAGGCAATGATGATATTCCGGAGTATAAATTCGATCAAAATGAAATCAATTGTGAACCAGTGAAAGACGATTATGATGAAATGCCAGTCGACTTAAGTGATTCTTTTTAAAATGTACATTTTTTTCTTCATATGCAAATCAACAATGAAAATTTGCATCTTTAAAAACTACATCAAGAAATTAATTGTACTTGTAACATTCAATTTTCTTCCTTCCAAAGTTAAGAGCCTTGGCAGTGAGCCAATTACCAAGGGAATGTGCATATTCTCCTCTTTATATATTTTGAAAGTATCTTTAGTAACTATTTCCGGTTTTCCTAATTTTAATATTATTATGTATTCCATGTTCAAAAATGTTGACATGGGTTTAGTTCACAAAAGAAAGTTTAATGGATGGAATAACATTCTGGAAAAAGGCATTTTATCACTTACTAACATATTTGATTTTTGCTGTGAAAGAGGTGGGCGAGTGAGTGGAACATGATTCTCGTATTAAATGATCACAATTAAGTTCAATTCTTGCCAGCACATTCTAAGTCAATGTCAAATTAAAGAAGACCAGTGATGAAATAATCTATAAAGAAGAAAAAGAGAGATTTTCATATTTTTAAAATTTTGTCAATTTGATCTTTTGAAGGGTTTAACTGACGAAATTTTAAACAATTTAGAAATCAAATTGGTTGCAATTGAAAATTAGGAACTACATTAACAGTTGGAAAACAATTGAGAGACCAAAATGCTGATTTCTCCATTTCTTGAATTTCTTAAATAAGAAATTTTTTATTGTTAATTTTTCTTGAATTTCTTAAAGGTGCAATTTTTTATTGTTAATTTACATCCGAGGAAAAATTTACTTTGTAAGGAGAATCACTTAATCCGAGCGGTGTTCCATCATAACAATCTCTCATTGCTTGAAGATTGAATTCATGAAGGTCGGATTTGTACTCAGGAATATCATCACAGCCTTCAAGCATGCTAACAACTGCAGACATGGACGGCCTAAGGACTGGGGAAGGATTAGTACAAAGCAAAGCCACTTTGATCATTCTAAGTGCCTGTTCTTTATCGAAATCAGAATCCAATCTTGGATCTATTAGCTCCATTAGATTTTCCTTTTTTTGAAGATCAAGTGCCTAAAAATTGTGCATCAAATACCACAAAACACAACAAAATATAAGAATAGGCCACTTAGTTTGATATGTTTGCAATCAATAAATTATAAGTTTGGTAGTACTAATATCTCACCCAATCAAGGAGGCAAATGCAATTCTCATTAGGACGATACTTCACGTTGTTCTTGCCAGAAACAATTTCCAGTGCCACCACCCCGAAACTATAAACATCAACTTTGAATGTTAAGTAGCCCCACAATGCATATTCAGGAGCCATATATCCTCTGTAGCAAAAACAAGAAAGAAAGAGTAATTGTTACTACGTATTTTTCTGGAAAGAAACAATGCAAAGTAGCGTAAAAAGAAGGATGAAATTAAAAATATCATAAGATCTTACCTTGTCCCAGCAACTCTTGTGCTGATGTGTGTATTCTCACCGTCATCAAGTTTAGCTAGACCAAAGTCAGAAATTTTTGGATTGAGTTCTTTGTCAAGAAGCACATTCGTAGCTTTAATATCTCGGTGAACAATTTTTATTTCTGATTCTTCGTGTAGGAAAGCTAAACCTTTTGCAACCCCGACACAAATTCTATGTCTGGTTGGCCAATCGATTTTCAGTTGACAATCTTCTGGACCTATAATTAACTGTTAAGTCAAAATACGTATTGTCTTTGTTATTGCAGCCGAAATAATTAAGATTTCAAATTTACCAAAAAGAGCATGGGAAAGGCTGTTGTTTTCCAAGTACTCGTACACTAGCAGCAATTGCTTTCCATCAACACAACACCCGTAAAGTTTCACAAGATTAGGGTGGTGAAAACAAGAAATCATGCTTATTTCATTCAAAAATTCATGATTTCCTTGACTTGATTTCGACGAGAGTTGTTTCACAGCAATAACGGTACCATCCAATAGTGTGCCCTAATTTTATACACAATGGAAAACCATGATCATCAAATTAAAATAAGCATTTAAAATGCATGAATTAAGAGATTGACATATTATGCATATTCTTATTTCTCCATACCTTGTAGACAGGTCCAAAACCACCTTCACCAATCTTATTTGAAGCATCAAAGTTGTTTGTAGCGGCTTTAATTTGTCTTAAGGTAAACAGTCCAGTTCGTAGATCAAGGCCTCGTAGTTCTGCACTAGGATAATGAACTTTAGAGAAATTGGAAAAAAAATGTTTTTGGGATAAACAACAAGCTTATGATTGTCACAATGTCAGTTTCCGATACAAAATTAGAACGAAACTGAAATTAAACGAGGAATTTACCCCTTTCTTTTGAGGTCTTATTTCTAAGGTAGATCTTCCACCCAGCAAAACAGAGAATAGTGAAAACAAGAAACAAAGAAGAAGCCGTTGCAACAACTATGATTAAAGTCTTCATATTTTTGGGAGGCTTGAAATCTGCAGGTTTGTAGACGAAACATGAGAGTGAACGAGATATCTTTTAACTAACAGAAATAACGAAAAAGTAATCTGCAAAATTGGGTAAGAGTAACTAATATATTAACCATATTTAAATTTTTTTTTAAAAAAACTATATATTGGTGATATATGGGAGTCATGACTAATATTACCAGATTCCACAGAAATGGCAGATACTAAAGGGCCATATACTCCTGGAAGCGGGACAACTGTTGTTCCTTTTTCAGCATACTCAAAGCGCAACTCGAGAGTTTTATCTCTGACAACTGCTTGAAATTGTTTAACTACCACTTTATCAACTCCTCGTGCTGCAGTTTCGATATCAAAATCCTTTAATTTCCTTTCACCCTGTAGCCAATAAAAACGCTAGCTATAGTGAAATGCATATGACTTAACCATTGAAGTTAGCAATTTCATTTCAACTATAAAATTCTGAGCGGACCTGTATATAAACATCGAATACGCGCCTTCCAAGACTTTGAAACGATCTATTATCTCTCAGAACTATCTCCGCAAAATGAAGTTTCACAGTATAGTTTCCATTTGCTAAACACCGTCCATAATATGTTAGAGATAAAGGAGACAAGCGAGCTGTCTTGTAGATTTCGGAGTTTTTTTCCTTGATGACAGATATATTCGTTGCTGTATTGTCGAGTGGTGCTATATTTTTATCCCAAAAGTATCCCGTATTACTCATTACCCAGTTTTCTCTATTAGAAACAAACTTTGCAGGCCCCGAATCATCATCTGCGTCATATGTAGTGTCACCGATCGAAACACTGCCTCCCCCACAATTGATGTGAAAAGAATACCAATCTGCAGAATTTTTTTTTTAAAAAGAACCTTAAGATTGTCACAATGTCTGCTTCTCATTGCTTATCATCAGTAACATTATTTGATGCATTAATGTATTGTGATGTGATGTGGTTACCTTTCGTGCAGCTCATTAGACACTGTCCAATATTTCTATACAAAGCCGGTAGGGGGGTAAAGTTAGAAATCTTTGGAGACTAAATTACGTTAAGAGTGACACTATCACTACTGGAAATTATGGAATTTCCGACCACCTGAAAGTGATCTTAAATCAAGTTGAAACCAAAAAGTGGTCGAAAATAGCAACAAAAGTTTTTCCGGATACCAAAAGTGATTTGAACAAGGCTTTCGACTTGATTTAAGATCACTTTCAGGTGGTCGGAAATTCCATAATTTCCAGTAGTGTATATTCATGCTTGGTTAGAGGATGTTAAAACTTACGAATTTTCCCCTCCGTTATAGCTTTTGAACAAGTTTCTGACATGAAAATGAGAAAGTTAAAACGATCCATATTCGAAGGAACACTTGAAAGAGTAGATGCATATAAGAGACAGAATCTTACAGAGTTTCCCGGTTGCAAATTGGTGGCACAGAGCTCTCCTCGAAATTATTGTATGAAAGATCTGCAAAACTGCACACCATCTTTTAAATTCTATTAGTCCTTTTTATGACAAGAATAGCCGAATATAAAAGACCGAACTTACTATCTGGAATCTCGATTTAGAACCCATTGAGGAACTTGCCCACTAAACGAGTTGTTTGTTAGATACCTAAGAATTGGTAGCACAGAATTCAAGTATGAGAAACATAACTAGAATGTTGATTAGCTTTCTATTAGAACAAAATGCCCAAATGGGGAGGAAGTTTCTTATATATGCATAATTGTTCGCATCAAAATTAATTTGTTACTCACAGGTACTGCAGATTTCCAAGATTTTGAAGAACATCGATCCCCCCTTCCAGATTATTAAAACTCAAATCTCTGCAAATTCAATTTCATAACAAAACAATAAAGCAGAGAACTAATAAGTTGAGGAAGAAGAACATAGAGTTCAAGTTGAAAAGGATCAAAAGAAAATTAATGTTGCAGAAATTACAGTGTTTGTAAGCCTGTCATATTAGCTATATCAGGTATCTTCCCAGAAATATTACACCGCCTCAACATCCTGCATTCAAAATATATATATATATATATATTTTTGGCATAAATAATCCCAATTCATAGTGGGATTTTGAAACGTAAGTTCATATATATTTTGGAAAGGAAATGCATTACTTACAATGTTTTCATGCCTGTCATGTTGTTAAGTGTAGGAAATCTGGAGACACCTCCATTAAGGTCACTAATTCTACTGCAAATTCGTGTTATTGACAACTACATTTTAGTTTGTTGATCTTAACCATAGAAAATTGTGCTATAATCGAAACGTGAGAATTAATTGTTGAGCATATAACTATTAATGTGCAATCCAACTATCAGCTTAGGTTTTTAATTGAGATGGAACACATGCTTCAATTTGGTATCAGAGCCAGACCAAAGGTCATGGATATAACTATTAATGTGCAACCCAACTATCAGCTTAGGCTTTTAGTTGAGATGGAGCACATGCTTCAATTTTAATTACATCGTCAAAGGACTCAAAGGAAATCTTAACTCACAGTTCTGTCAAGCTTGTTGGTACAAAAATATTTTGAGGTATGGATCCTTCAAAACCGCTTGCTTGAAGCTCTCTGCCAATCATGCTTGTCAATACAAAACAATTTCATCCAGAAATTTCAATTTTAAAGTGTTAGATTCGAATGCTTACAGTCTTTGAAGGTTTTTCAAACCTTGAAAGCTAGGCATTTTCCCCGTGAATTTATTCCTGCTGAGCCTACTGCATTGTTTTCCCAAGGCGCGAGGACACATGACAATTAAGTCAGCATAAAGTATGGAAGAATTGAAACGAGAAAATAGGTTCATAAATTAGGAATATATATGTATGATGATGCACTTACAGCTCTGTCAAATTTGCGAGAGCATTAAGTTCTGTTGGCAATTCACCTGTGAGATAATTATCACTAAGAATGCTACAAAAAGGAAAAATTAAGAACAAAACATTTAAATTCCGCATATATTCGAAAATCTTTTACACGGAAAGGAGTTTACAGATTAGCGAAAGGCTTACAGATTCTCTAGGTTGGCAAGTTTCCCCAGCTCGGGAGGAACAGTTCCATTGAACATATTGTTTTGCAAGTTTCTGAAAATTCATTTGTTGTTACAACAAAACCCAAACAATAAAAAGTTAAGAAAAGTTGTACTTGTGTAAGCAGAGTGAGAGGAGCAAGGGAACATACAAATGTATAAGAGTTGTTATATTTCCCAAGTATTTTGGAATTGGCCCGGACAATCGATTCACAGTAACAGATCTGCAAATTTTCACTTGTTTAGAATGGACAAGAATTGAAGATGGCTTACACTTGTATAGCTTAGGTTATAATACAGAAGACATCTTACAGGTATTCCAATTTGATGGAAGCCCATTCAGGGGGAATTGTACCACTTAAGTAGCTGCGACTCAATTCACTGCAAAAAATAACACTACTAATATAATCAAGCAAGAATATGAATAACAAGAGATGATTAATGCATAAATGCAGAAAGTATAGGTTGGTACATTATCTTAAGAAAGGGTAACTTCACCAAGGCAGGAGGAAGAACACCTTGCAGATCCTGTCCCTTCAAAATTCTGCTTACGCAACAATAGAGACTTAAATAGTTAAATCTTTCTTTGTATAAAGAAAAATAAAAAATAAAAAATAAAAAAAGAAGGGGAATTGAAAAATAGAGTAATATGCCACTAATCCCACTATTAGCTGTTTGACTTGATTAAATAACCAATATGAGTGTTTGATTAATTAGCTTTTTGTAACAGCTTATTGCTCCAAAATTCTAAAATTCAAAAAGTTGCTCAAAATAGCTTTTTGGATGAGCTCTTTGAGAAAGTCATTTTGCATGTAATCAGCTATCAGCTATAAGCTAATTTACCAAACATCTTCTACAATCAGATAAGCTAATGTTATTAATTAGTCAAGCCCACCTAACTTAATCAGCTAACAATTATTTACCAAACACTCCCGTAATATAATGAGAGAGGAAAAGCTTACAAGCTTTGAACATGGCAAATACCACCAGGGAAGCTACAATTGCAAGTGAGGGTATTATTATAGGCAGGCATATCTTTCCTCTCTGGTGTCATCCAGTTAGAGTTGTTGTCACAAGGATTTAGTCCAAAATCCCAATCCTTCTTCCCCATTTGCTCACCTATTTCCTTAAGTGCATTTACTTCCATATACAACCATTCAACAAAAGCAAGCAAGCTGTTAATAAGAATGTAATTTGCATGCATTATAGAAAATTCAGAATATATGATGAAGAAAACAAGAGATGAGAGAGCTGAGGGGACTCACATTCATGTTGAGGAAGATGCCCACTCTGGGCTTCAAGAAATATAGGATAGAAGATGAGTATAATTGGTATGAGGATTATTGTGTAGATGTAGACTGACATAGTTGAATTCTGGGGAAGATCAGATCAGCTTCAGTGATGAAATTATCCAACATATATGATATATATGTGTGTCATTTAATATATTTAATGTACACTGAGTTGTGGGACATAATAAAGTTATAATGAGTTGTGAGCAAGTGGCGTAATCCTTGGAGCAAGTGTGTCATTTTTTTGCTTGGTTGTTGGTTCAGTCAGTACTAAGAATTAAGAAAGATACTGTTTTTTTTTTTTTTTTTGCTTTCAAAGAAAAATTGGTAATCATTACGGAAGAGTATGCATTGAGTAAACATCACAGATCATACAATAAAGATAAATTGAGTTTGAGGCAAATCTCAACCAAAAAAGATAGTCTATTAATCTTTTTTGTTTGAACTGATCAACTATTAAAACATCTTTAATAAGCATGGTTTTTAAGGAGTTTTTGTCAAATTACAAGGAAAGATGAGGGACAGAACAAAAGTAAAAGATTTTTTTTTTTTTTTAAAGAAACCAACGGTCAGAGGACAAAAAAACAGAAACTTTTACACGCCCAGAGAGCACGCAAGTTGCGCTTAACGTCAGGGGCGGAGCCAGGATTGGTTGGGGGGGAGGGGGCAATCACAAATTGAGAGGGAATAATAAAACATATAAATATTTATATTACAAATCTAATAAAATTTGGAACGTCTTTCAAAATTCAATGACTCAATACTTGTAAATGAATTTATTGATGTTGAATTTTCAGAATTCTTTCTTATAAAGAAAAGGTCAATTCTTTGTGTCTTTTTCATTTCAACTCAAACTTCTGATGTTCATAGTGTTATTCTTTTTGACAAATCAATTGAATTAACAAAAACTGAAAAGAAAAAAAAAAAGAATAAATAGACAAAGATTAAAGTAGTAAAAATTTAAAGATTTTGATACCAAAATGACAATTTATTATTATAATAAACACAATTGTAATGTATTTCATTTGCAAATTAAAAAAGATAAAAATTAAAGTAGTAGAAATTTAAAAATTTTGGTAGCAAAATGACAATTTATTATTATAATAAACATAATTGCAATGTATTTCATTTGCAAATTAAAAAACTAACTATATATCAAATTAGCAATCCACTAAATTACCCTAAAAGCTTGCTTGGAGGGGAGCAAAACAACAAATATTTAGTGAGGGGGGCCAAAAAAAAAAGCTACAATACTAATAAAAAAAATAAAATTGGTTGGGGGGCCAAGGCCCCCTGCACTTTAAATGTGGCTCCGCCACTGCTTAACGTGCCTACAATACGCAAGCATTTTCTCCATGCAGGCTCCCGCATGTTCAATTTAAAAATTACACCTCCTGCAAAGATTCACTTTCTTCTCTCTCATCTCTCTCTCCTCCACATAATTATCGCTATCCTCAAAAACTGAGCAAACTCCACATATGGAGATGCTTTTAGAGCATCCACAATAGTTGGGGATAATGTAAGAGTGATTAGGAAAGAGAATGTGGGAATGGGAGAAAAAAAAAAAACAAAATAAAACAAAACAAATTTAAAAAAAAAAGAAAAAAAAATAACATAGTTAGGCGTGCCTGGCGCGTGCATTGCACGCGCCCGTGTGGCTGGTTGCTGTGCGCGGAACGAGCACAGCAGCTTATCATTTCTGAGGGAAGAGAAATATCTCAACATTTGCAGGAGAACTATTTCATGTATTAACTCCACCCCACATTAATAAATAACCCCACCAAAGTTAATAGATCTGACATTAACCCATCTTTCACCATTGATGTGGATGCTCTTATAAGACTTACTTGCGTTTTCAGTTTTTGTCTATTGATTGACAGACTTGTCATTGTCGTATTTAAGACATTTCAGTGCATTTTGTGCATTCATGGCCTCGTGGGGTCCACCTACTTATACAACAACATTTCTTTCAAAGTAATAGTTAGAATATAAATTTACAAGAAAATCCAACCAAATTAGTTACATAATTAACTTGGTAATTATAAAATTATAAATTTAATTTTCTATAGGAATGGTACGGTCTATTAGTCTTCTCCATGTGAGAATTGTTTATTAGCATTCTTGATTTGAGTGTAGTCTATTATCGACTAGGATTACAAGCTGAATTTTATCTAAAATACACATCCGAATAACCTACAACCAAAAGAATATGACATTGCATAATTCATGTTGGTTTACCTCCTTTGTAGTCCTTTACCAATTAGAATTATAATATGAACTTTACCCAAAAATCACATTTGGTAGCCCACAATCAAAAGAATATGACATTGCATAATTCATGTCTCTTGGAATCTAGTGAGTGCGACTCCAAAAGTCTTCCAAGTCTTCCTAATCCACAAAATCATAATTTCTTTTCTTTCCAAAGAGTAATGGATAAATCTCAATACTAGGGCTAAAGTACTTATGACATTGTACATCGGGTAACCCATGCTCCCTATGCTACAAACTCGATCAAGAAAGTCAGTTAGCAACAATTAAATCCATGACTATTCAAACATGAGAATCGTAGTCCATTCACTTAACCAACGTTACTTTTCTGCGACATGAACTTATCATATTGAGTAATTGGATAAAATTTGTAAGAAGATCAAATGTCAAAGTGTGACTAAAGTTATAAGACTAAACATAATTAATTTATAACTAGATATAGCTACGACACATCAATCAATTAACCAGTAGAGAAACCAAAAATGAAAATTTCACTTTCTTAATACTAGTAAACGAAGAACAACAAAGCCATAAATGTATCTTTCTAACTTGCTCCAAGGGTTACGCTTAAAACTCATTGTCAACCAGACAATAAAGCCATAAACATATCATTCTGGCCTGCCTCCACTTGCCCAAAACTCATTGGCTCATTTTCTTCTTTCTATGATTCTGCCTTTATATATTATGTACAGTAAATGTACGTACAAACGACATACTCATTCCAGCTGATCTTCCCCAGAGCTTAACCAATGCCAACTTCCAGGTTAATCGTTCTCAGCCCTCACGAACAGCTCAGTTGGTTTCTGGGTAGTAGATTGTGGGCAAGTTTAATCGTTCTGGTAGTAGTTATACTCTCCTTTAATGTAATATTTCTTGAAGCAGAGAGTGGGCATCTTCCTCAAGATGAACGTGAGGGGCTCAGCTCTCTATTATTATGAATTTTGTATATATAGCAAATTATGTTACATATTTATTAACAAGTAGGTTTTGTTGAATGTATATGGAAGTAAATGCACTTAAGGAAATAGCTAATCAAGTGGGGAAGAAGGATTGGGATTTTAGCCTAAATCCTTGTGGCAACAACTCCAACTGGTTGGCACCACAAAGCATAGATACACCTCTCTACACTAATAATCTCACTTGCGATTGTAACTTCCCTGCTGGAATTTGCCATGTGCAAAGGATGTAAGCTTTTCCTTCTATGAACATATATGAAAGATAAGATGGTATGAAAACATTAGAATTTTCTATAATTTATATTGGATACAAAAATCGAGTCTTAGTTGCTACTGTTATGTAAGCAGAAACTTGAAGGGACAGGATCTGCAAGGTGTCCTTCCTCCTTCCTTGGTGAAGTTATCCTTTCTCAAAACAATGTAAGACTTTATACATTTATGCATGATGAAAGAGTCAGCTCTTCTTGTTGGTATTCTTTGTTTGATTATTAGTTTTATTTTGTGCAGTGACCTCACCCGCAACTACTTAAGTGGTACTATTCCCCCTGGATGGGCTTCTATGAAACTGGAACTTATGTAAGTTGTGTTGTGTATTATATATAACCTAAGCTATACAACTGCATGTGTTAGAATACATACATACAAACGCATGCAAAAGAAGCATCAATTGATTTTTTTTAGATTCCATAACTTTGTAGAGGGGTTTGAGCAATCTTACCCTTAAAGCGTGCTTTCGCAAAAATAAAGCTTGAACCGTCCAATTGTCCGGCCTCTAATCCGTCCACCAACTAAGCACATGAGAATTTCTTAGAGATTTTATGTGAAAAAGGACTCTGGTTCGTGCTAAAAGGTGCTAGTCTTTAAAAAAACTTAAAATTACCTAATATTGAATTAATTTATTAATAAGCTATTAATGAATTGCACAATATCCATAACTCCTTATCGATTTCTTTTAAAGTTCTCAACATTACCATAGACCATTAAGGTATGACTTTCTAAGTTTATAGTTAAACTAGCAACAATTACTGTAATATTTAATAACTCATTATTCAATAACCTGCAAGTCATGAGTGACACCTAGTATTATGTAATGACTGTGTAGTTGACAATGATATATATATATATATATATATATATATATATATATATATATATATATATATATATAAACACATTTCTTCCACACAACATAGACTTGTTCCGAATCAGGTAAAGGTCATTGACAAACTTGGTTTAAAATGTCTATTCAATATTCTTAACCTAAAGTCCAAATTCATTATAGTCTGGCGAGAGATTCTCGTTGTAAGATTATTGAATAGACTAGAACAATCTTGTTACCTCAACGTGGTGGTCCTGGTGGATCCTTTATTGGCACACATATCTCCGTACAATATTGAATTGTACTAGACCACAAAGTCCACTTATATATATATATTCCCATAAGGGAACAAAAGATGCATACTGACAAACACTAGTTCACCATGTGTACGAGACAACTATGTCGTCTAAAGTCAAAGGACTATTGCATACTTGTAACATACAACATACTGATGACACGTAGATAAACACCATACGGTACGTTGTAGTCCGTCATTGTTTAATGGCTTGTTCTGATATCTAATAATCATCCACATGTCCACTTTCCGTATCTCATACGGATCGGAATGGCATGACACTCACCATAAGAAGGACAATGTGCTAGTTTTATCGGAATTCTAATGCCAATAAGAATTTCCTTACTAGGAACATTTTTACAATACTTCATTAATAAATTATTCGTTACTCATATTCTTAACTCTTAAGAATGAAGAATTAAGAAGATTGTACGGAGCAATATCAAATTTAATAAAACCAAAATATATATATATATATATATATATATATATATATATATATATTTGTTTA